CTATTCTTCCGTAATTTGCAAGCAAGTCTCCAGCGAGAGCGCGACTCCAGAGCGCCGGGAGAGCGATTCCTGAATAAGTTTTAAGGAAATCCCAAGCGAGAGCGCGATTCCTGAATACAATGCGAGGAAGTTTCGGGCGGGAGCGGGGGTCCTGGCTAAATTGTGAGGAAGTCTGAGGCGGGAGCCGTTGTTGTTGCTGTAGCCTGGGGGCCCGGGGTCAAATTTGAGCATCAAGACCTTCCCTGTTAAAAAACAAGGTGCGAGCGTCGAGGGGCACACTTTGATTGAGAAAAATAATATGCACCGGTGGGGGGGGATCAACAACAATTATTATTCATAATTGATTTCAACAACAACAACCACAACAACAACAGCAACAACAGCAGCAGCAACAACAACAACAGCAGCATCAGCAACAAAAACAGCAACAGCAACAGCAACAGCAACAATCTACCACGAATTCCTTATTCAGCCACACACCCAAAGACAATTAATGACCGTTCGGCCCCGTCACTCTGATAAAAAAGGCGACGGAACCCGAAAAAACAACGGCGTCGGAACCGACAAAAAAGGCCAAAACGGAACGGGTGAAAATCGTTTCCAGGGCCCACTACGTACGCTCAAGATAGCAGCCAACATGCTCCGAGAGGCCCAAAAGACTATTCCAAAACGGCCCCAAGTGCTCCTGAACCCGAGGACCTCCCCAAGAAGCCACCATCGCTCAAACACCTACGGGAAAAGCACTGGTGTTCGCCGTGTTTGCCCTTGCGCTTTTGATTGGCTTATGAAGCCTCAAGATGGCCCCAAGATGGCCAAAGAGGGCCCAAAGAGGGGCCCAAGAGGCCACCTAGAAAGCGCCAAGAGCGCCCAAGAGCGTTCCAAGAGGGTCCCAATAAAAGGCTTCGAAGTCTCTTGAGAGGGAAATCGAATTAGGGACCCCTCCTGTTTTGATCGATGGCCTCCACGATGGCCCGAAGAGGCCCTCCAGGGATCCCAAGACGGCCCCAAGACTCCCCAACGGAGCGCCATGAGGGCCTCAAGAACTCCCCAAAGAAGGCCAGAAGAGGGCCCGGAGACAACCCCAAGAGGACGCCAAAAAGGCAACAAGAAGACCCCAAGTTGGCTACCAGAGTCCTTGTCCTCGCCCTCGTTGTCCTCCTTCTCCTTCTCCTCCTCCCCTCCTCCTCCTGACTTTCGGTCGCTCCACAACAACCTCCTCTTTCTCCTTTTCCTCCTCGTTCTCCTCCTCCTCCTCCTCGTTCTCATTACCTTCGCGTTGTTCCTCCTCTCCCTCATTGTCCTCCTCCGCGTCCTCCTCCCCGTCCTTGTCATCCTCCTGCACGTTCCCGTGTTCGTCCTCCTGTTCCTTCTCCTCCTCGTCCTCGTCCTCGTCCTCCTTCTCCTCCTCCTCCTCCTCCTTCTCCTCCTCCTCCTCCTCCTGCTTATCCTCGAACCTCTCTGGGCAAATGTCTCATTGCACGCCCCTACACTTTCCTGAAAACGGGACTCGCTCTGGAATCGCTTAAGGAACTCTTCTGCCAGTTCCCCGTCATCTCTCATCGGCAGCGTTTCTAATTGGTCTGGTGGGGATGCACGAAGCGTGATGGTTTGCTGTTCCTCGGAACCCATCTTGTCATTTTGTGAACTACCCTGGTCCACTACGACAATACTGGCAGAATCACCAGCTTGGTTGTCCGATGGCCAACGCCAGACGGAAAGTCTTGTTCAAAAAAAAACCAACACTGCTGCCAGGCATCGTGCCCATCTTTGTCTTCCACATTCCGGGCGTGCAGATGAAAACTGGCGGGCCTGGAGGACGCATTAGGCCTGGATCGATTTATCTTCATCCTGCCCAGGCATACGACGTAATGATTTCATGACGGCGTGGATCCCGAGAGGTCTGGACCTCTTCCCTGGGACCATATGTTCATCCTGAATCGTTTGTTGGCTGTCCAGGGGCTTGAAGAAGGCCCTCAGAGGCCGCAAACAGAAAACATCAAAAAAACATAGTGCTTTCCACGACGCGAGGACGCCAAGATCGCTCTGGAGCGCTTTCTCATCCTGGGCATGGGGGGGCTCATGGGGGCGGGTACGCACCCCGCCCCTTTCCCAGACTCAGGGCTTCTCAGCGCGGGCGTTTTTTCCTCCAACCTCCTTCCATCATCAAGGCAGCAACGGCAATGAAGACCACGTCCTCGAGAAGCGTTCATACCAACAGCCAGGATGTACCGGAACATTCTTCCCCAATTTCGATGAGCATCCCAAGGGCTGGGGGGGAGAGGGCGAAACCGCTGGGGCCTGCAGATGAAAGCGGTATGACTGGCCATGTGATGACGAAGCGTTGAGGACGCTGCGGCGCGTGCCATAGCGACACTGGTGAGGACGATGGTCATGGTAGTGATGCGACCGAAGATCGATGACAATGACGAGAATTATGAAGCTGGTTGCGACTATGACGCTGAATTCGAAGCCAACGTATCCAGTGAGGCATCCTCGTCTTACCGATCGCATTCCCAATTCAACCCATCTCTGTGGGACCCTGCAGGAAGGCTCCCGCAATAGATTTCCTTACGCTCGGCTCATAGACGAGGCCCCCGTTCGATATATCCCGCGCTTCGGATTTTCAGCTGCCCAGATTTCAGCCCACTGCGGCGGCACCTCGCCGAAAGCGCGAATGTCGCAGCCGAGACCCCCTTAGGAGAGAACCTGTGCAACTTTCGGCACCAGTGGAACCTTACGCTGGGCGCTAAGCAAGCGATGCCCCCCCAAGGAATGTTATTACCAAACAAACACAAACCACAACTTGTTATTTCGAACGACGCGCACCGTTAACGCAAGAGACGGCACACACAACGTATTTATCACCAAAATATTGCGCCGTTCTGGGGCTTTGCCACCATGGAGTGCTCGAAGGTGGCGACACCAAGGCCACCGCGATCCCCAGCGCCAAGTGGCAATGACAACGGACGGATAGGAATCCGGAGGGGAAATAATAAGAAGCTCTTTGGAATCTACACGGAACGCAGGATATCGCTACGAAGCCGACGAGGTTGACGAGTGCTTGCGAGGGAGCACCGAAGAATGTCAAGAAAGATGCGGGCTCGCGTGGACGTAAGAATTCCCGATTGCAGGCGCCATGCAGAAAATTAATTGCTCAAATTAGCCTGGCGAAGGACCCAACCATATGCAGTTGTGGGTATCGCATTCGGGGGAGCCCCGTATGGGGCCACGAAACGCTGCACTGGGTGGGGGGGACGCATGCGAACTGCGCCACTGTGACCTTCGGTGGAGCTCCCTATGGGGCCACGAACCGCTGCCCTGGGTGGGGGGGAACGCATGCGAACTGCGCCACTGGGGCCTTCGGTGGAGCTCCCTATGGGGCCACGAAGCGCAGCCCTGGGTGAGGGAACCGCATGCGGGCTGTGCCACTGGGACCTTCGGTGGAGCTCCCTATGGGGCTACGGGACGCTGCCCTGGGCTGGGGAACCGCATGCGGGCTGTGCCACTGGGACCTTCGGTGGAGCTCCCTATGGGGCCAGGGGGAACCGCATGCGGGCTGTGCCACTGGAACCTTCGGTGGAGCTCCCTATGGGGGTACGAAACGCTGCCCTGGGCGGGGGAACCGCATGCGGGCTGTGCCACTGGGACCTTCGGTGGAGCTCCCTATGGGGCCACGAAGCGCTGCCCTGGGTAGGGAACCGCATGCGGGCTGTGCCACTGGGACCTTCGGTGGAGCTCCCTATGGGGCCACGAACCGCTGCCCTGGGTGGGGGAACCGCATGCGGGCTGTGCCACTGTGACCTTCGGTGGAGCTCCCTATGGGGCCACGAAACGCTGCCCTGGGTGGGGGAACCGCATGCGGGCTGTGCCACTGGGACCTTCGGTGGAGCTCCCTATGGGGCTACGAAACGCTGCCCTGGGTGGGGGAACCGCATGCGGGCTGTGCCACTGGGACCTTCGGTGGAGCTCCCTACGAAACGCTGCCCTGGGTGGGGGAACCCCATGCGGGCTGTGCCACTGGGAACTTCGGTGGAGCCCTATGGGGCTACGAAGCGCTGCCCTGGGTGGGGGAACCGCATGCGGGCTGTGCCACTGGGACCTTCGGTGGAGCTCCCTATGGGGCTACGACACGCTGCCCTGGGTGGGAGAACCGCATGCGGGCTGTGCCACTGGGACCTTCGGTGGAGCTCCCTATGGGGCTACGAAACGTGTGAGGGGTGTGCCGAGAGCAGAGGCAAGGAGGGGGAGGAGGGAGGAGGGCGAGGAGGGGGAGGAGGAGGAGAGGAGGTGGGACGCGGGGCGCTGTCTCTTCAAAACGAGGACCCAACACCACAGGATGGTTAGGAAAAACCCGACACGATGGTGCACGGAAATATTTCGATAGCATGAATACAAATCATTGGCTCCAGTAGTCGGCGTGGCGGTCCGGTACGCACAGAAACCGCACGCGAATAACATATATGAATCCTGAAACCATTTCTAAGGAACCTGCAGGGGGTCCAAAGGGAAACCCAAAGGACTCTCAACGAGTTCTTGGAAGGAAACCCACGGAATCTCAAAGAAACCCAGAAGGGGGAACCCAAATGAATCTCCCTGGGTCGGAGCAGAGCAGGTACGCAAATAGAGACGTGGCTGAAGACCGCTCTGGCTCGGATCCCCGGCTCTGAGTGCCCGTGGAGGGGAATCTTTCGCGGGCCTTTGCGGGGGGTATCGCTTCAGCCCTGGCCCAGGTGCCAGGATCGTTATGATTTCCTCTGATGGGACGGGGGATGGGGTCCCAGCGCTATTCTAGGAAACGCTTCGTCCTATGCCTGGGCTTCCCGAACAGGGGGGGGGGGGCGGTGGAGATGGCGAGGATGGAGGGAACGGATGGCCTTGTGGGAATAAGCGGGATCGATAGGAAGGGGATGGAGGAAGAAATTCGGAGGTGAAGAAGAAGAACCACTGACAGGAGCAAGAGGAAGGCATTGGGACAGGGCAGTTGGACGCCGCCCCGGGACCACGCCAGGAGGCCAGGGACAAGCACGACGCCGAGTATCACGCCCACGACCGCCGAAACCTGCAGCCTCGCCCTGTCGTGGTCGGTCGCGCCCTCCTCGTCGAGCCGATCCGGCACCTGGAAGGTGACGGCGAAAGGCTCCGACCCTGCGATCTTCTCGTCGATGAGCTGCTCCGCGTAGGGCTCGCCGTCGACGCTGCACATCACCCAACCCGGCTCGACGCCCTGCCGCGCCGCCTGGCCACCTCCGTGGCGGCGCGCAGCAGGGGGGGTCGCGCGACGGGGCCGCGCGGCGGAGGGGCGTCCTCAGACGGCCGGGGCCTGCTTGGCAGGGCCTCCCGGAGGCCGAGGCGGCCTCCTGAGACGGCGCCAGAAGTCCAAAGAGTTGAGAAATCAAGGCGCGTGTTTTTCGCGGTGTGCCTCCCGCCCGCGGCCGCTTCCCCCCCCCCCTCCGTTCCCAACTCTTGCTGCCAATCCAATCGCGATGCCGTTGCCTGGCTTGGCCGAGCGCGCTTGCGGAGCGCCTCTGCCGCGCTGCGGGGTGAAAATGCTGTTCGCTGCTCCGGCCGTCAGAGGCCCTCGCCAGGCCCCTGGACCAGATTTTGACTTGGACTTAACTCCAGATGAAATATCCGGTCCCCAGGGAGCGGTCGAGACTTCCGGGGACTCCTTTTGAGGCGGCCTCTTCCTTCCAAGAGAAACAATCAAAGGCATCAGCATGAACTTTCGGCGCGACGCCCAGATTTCTCGGATCGGCGCTGTACCCCCCTCCCTGGCGCCCGGAGCGCGCCAGGGGCGGCGCCAGAGGCGCCCATCCAAGAAGTCCGCGCAGAGCGTCGTGTGTGTGTGTGTGTGCGTGCGTGCGTGCGTGCGTGCGTGCGTGTGTGTGTGTGTGTGTGCGTGTGTGCGTGCGTGCGTGCGTGCGTGCGTGCGTGCGTGCGTGCGTGCGTGCGTGCGTGCGTGCGTGCGTGCGTGTGTGCGTGTGTGTGTGTGTGTATGTGCGTGCGTGTGCGCTTAGAGTCAACACGCTGAAACAATGACGCTTTGGGCTAACGAAGGGCTCTCATTTTCGGGTCACTCTTTGAGTCTAGGTGGGGGGCCTATTCGGTGCCGAGGCTCGCCGGAGCCAGAAAGCCCCTCCGTTCCAGACTCAGCATTGTGCGGCTTCTCTGCCGCTTGTTTCTTTTGTTTGCCTTCCGAGACGCCCGCCCTCCCCGCCCTCTGAGAGGGCCGCCGCGCCCCCTCGCGACCCGCGCCCACCCCCCTGTGGCGCCAATTTCGCCCAAGAGACCTTCCAGCACGTTCTCCACGACGCCGTGCCTGGTGGCAAGCCCAGAGTGGATCTAGAAAAAACGGGCACACCGCCCAACAGCAAACAGCAAATGCTGTCCAAAACAGGTAGGGGCCGCTGTTGGGCAAGCAACTCCGTGTCGCAAGTGGACAGCGGCGACGGCGACACCGACAGCGAATCCAGCTCAGAATGGGCAGGAGCTGCTCTAAGTCGCTTTTTTCTGTGGCAACTCATGGGAGCCTCCCTTACCATCCTGTTGGTTACGCTCATCGGCGCTGATCGACGCTGGATCGACGCTCATCGACGCCACATCGGCACTTTCTCATCGACCGCCAGACGCTAGCCCACGCTAGTGTACTCTAAAGACGCAATTGCGAGGACAAGCACAACTCCGATGACTTCCTACCCGACTTCTGTCCGTACAGTCGACGTGTACCACAAGGACGCGCGATATGGAAGCAAGGGCCTTGGAAGGACGTTTCGAAGCTTTTCGAGCGTGGCGCGGCTAATGAAAGTGGCCAGGGATGGACCGGGGAGGCAAGCATGAAAGAGTACCCTTGGGAAAACTGCCCATCCTTGTTGTGCGACTCGACTGTAGCCATTCCGATACGACCCATCCTGAAGTCGCCCTCCACGCCGATGCCCCCGGGCTGGAAGACGACGCTCCGCTCTTCCGGCGGCGGCGGGCTGCGCCCTGCGGCGTCCGACGGCGGCGGCGGGCTGCCCCCTGCTTCGGCTACCAGTAAGGGCGACCCCGGGCAAGAGTGACCTTTGGCGCGCGGCTCAGCGCGGGCCGCCAAGAGCGCCCAACCAACACAGGCGCGCGAGCCGTCGCTCTCGCCCCGCACTCGGCGAACTTCGGCGATTGGGGGGCCCCGTTGGGACCGCACCAGGAGGCCACTCCCGCCAGGGCTCGCCCCTGCGTGGAGCCGGCCTGCGGCGTCCGACGGCCTCTCCGACCAGGCCCCCGGCGTCTCGAAGCGCCCCGGGCTGTCGGCCGGCCCGGCCGGCCCTTCGCCGTGGCGCGGGCCCGGCGGGCTCTCGCCCACGGCCTGGGGAGGGGGGCCCCAGGGACACACCACGCCCTCTGCAGTCGGCCAGGGAGCGACCCATGCGGGCGCGTCTGGCCAAGGGGCGCCTCAAGGAAGAGGCGCCCTGGATGCATGTTGCCCGCATCGCACTTGAGGACCACGTCCCAGAAATCATGTCGAGCACCCAGAACAGTATCGACACTGTGTCCAACGAGTGCCGTCTCCCAGGGACTGGCACGTGGAAGCCCTCCATCTTCGGTACTTTCCTGGTGCCCGAAATTCTCTCTAGTGATCAAGGCTAAAGTAGGCTGGGACATCATAACCCTGGATGAGGATTTCATCTGGCGTCTGTGGACCGATTGCTATCCATATCCACCGCGCCATTGGCTTTCGGGGTATGGAACCCGAACTCCAAGACACCATGGATATGGATACAAATCTTACCCGCACCCCAGAGATCCAACGTATTGAACAAACAAACGGCATCTGTTCGCGGTTCTCGGCCTTTGGAGGCCCTCGCCGGCACCCCAAGGACGGTCAACCCTCCCCGGAAATGGGTCGAGACTTCAAGGGACCCCGAACGGCAGAAATCACGTCGAACCTCGAGTCGATGTACAGGCGCCTCAGCTGCCCGACTCCGAGCTCCGGCGCCGAGTCTCAATGGCTCCCTGGCCGACCGAGCGGCGCGGTGTATTCGTCGAGCCCCCCAGCCGGCCTCCCGCAACGAGCCGCTGGGCAGTGACTTCCTTGGGAGGCCCGTGCGGTAACGAAGGAGGACTTGTGCTCTTGAGCTGCGGATCCGTCTGGCTGCTTCTGCCGGGGTCCCCTGGGCCCGTGCGGCCTGTATCGGGCGGTCGAGGCGCAGCTCGGGCAGTTCGATCTGACTCCGCTAGCTCCCGAGCCGCTCCACGAGGAGGGAGGCAGTAAAGGATGATGATCCTAACTTTTTTGGGGTGTTGGTGGTGATCTGACGGCCACCTTGGAAGCCAAAATTTCTCCACCATCACCGAGATGGGGATCAACTACCTTCCTTCGGTGGAGGCATACAGCCGATATCTGCGTTGGTGCCAACTTCTGAGGCCTCCGACCTCTTCGGATGCACACCAAAGAGGTGGCCAACAGGCAATTGGCGGCCCTTGGTGCGTGGCCTGCCAACCGGCGCAATCGGCGCAGCAACAGCAACAAGCGGCCCGCGTGCTGGGGTTTTGCTCGCCCATCCCGCGGCCCCTCCCGGAAAGCCGCGCAGCAGAGGTCCCTCCATCGAGAGCTCACTGCTGCGTGCACGGGCGTGAATCAAACGAGTCCTGAGGGAAGCGGGCTCTGGACCCCTAAGGCCTTCCCCATGGGTGGCCAGCTCCTGCTCCCAGGCCGCGTTCTGAAACTCCCAGGGCCCCGTCGAGAGCCCCGAGACGCCGAAAACGGGGAAGAGGCTCAGGACCCGTTTCCCTGTGGACCCGTCCCCAGACAGCCGCCGACCGATGTTTCAAGAGGCGCGGCCCCAGAGGTCCCGATCCCTTCCCCGGGCCCAGCACTTCGCACCAGACCAGCTTTTGATGGCCACGGGGTCCGGAACAGCAGGCCCTGGAAGCCGAACCGAGGAAAAACGCCCGCATTGAAATTAGCCTGGCGAAGGACCTAACCATTCGCAGTTGCGAGGGCCGTCGTTGTGAGTATCGCCTTCGGTGGATCTCCCGATGGGGCCACGAAGAGTGTGATGGGTGTGCCGAGATGGGGCGGGGCGGCCACGCGGGTGTTGCCACTAGGGCTTGAGATAGGGCCCCCCTATGGGGCCACGAGGCGTGTGAGGCGTGTGCCGACGTGGGTGCGGGGCCGCCATGTGGGCGCTGCCACTGAGGCCTTCGGTGGAGCTCCCACTTGGACCACGAAGCGTGGCATGCGGGCCCTGGCATGGGGTGCCTTCGGTGGATCTGCCGATGACGCCACGAAATGGTGAGGGGTGTGTTGGAATGGGTGGCGCGGTCACATGCAGTACACCCCTTGGGGCCTTCGGTGGGAGCTCCCTGTGGGGCCATGGAACGTGTGAAGAGGTGTGCCAGGACGGGCGGAGCGGCCGCATGTGGTACACCCCCCTGGGGCCTTCGGTGGAGCTGCCTACTATGGGGCTGCGACAAATGTGAGGTGTGTGTGTGGGTGTGCCGAAATAGGTGCGGCAACCGCATGTGGTACATCCCCCTTGGCACTTCGGTGGACCCCCCGGTGGGGCCACGAAACGTGTGAGAGGTGTGCCGAAGTGGATGGGGCGACCACATGTGATACACCCCGCTGGGGCCTTCGGTGAAGCTCTGTATGGGGCTACGAATCGTCTGAGGGTGCTACCGAAACGGGTGGGGCGGCCGCATGTGGTACACCCCCCTGGGGCCTTCGGTGGAGCCCCCTAGGGGGCCGCGAAGCGTGAGATGGTGTGCCGAAGTGGGCGGGGCGGCCGCATGCGGCACATCCCCATGGGGCCCTAGAAAGCCACAAAGCGCTGTAACGGGTGTGCCGAACTGGTTGACATGCGGAGACCACGGGTAAGGAGGGGGAGAAGGGAAGAGCGGGAGGTGGAAGGAAGGAAGGAGGCGCGGACCGTTATCTCTTCAAACGAGAACCGAACACCACAGGATGGTTGAGAAAAGGCAGATCGTAGCAGATCCAGGTTCAAGAGCATTGAATGCAGACTCGCCAAGATGCACTTGTCTGGTATTTCGCCCGCCCCCCACCCCACATCCGCCACCTTCATAGACAGCGCTGGGCCGAAAACGCTTGCGAGAAAGGTCCGATTTGCGTGAAATCCAAATGTCCTTTCGGGCCTCGCCCCCCCCCCGCCCTCGCCTCTCCATGCGAGTGAACTGCTGGCAGCTGGTAGAGTTCAAAGGGAAACTGCCTCCTCGCTCCATGGAAATTGTATTCACATGGAGAGAGCGCGTCCTGTCCTGAGGGAAACGAGTCTTGGACCCCCAGGGGCCTTCCCCGAGACCCGATTTTTACGCTGAGTCCCTCTGCTGGCAGCCCCAGGGCCCGCGGAGGGCCCCGAGCGCCTGAAAATTATGAAAGTCCTTCGGTCGTAAACTCTTGCTTGGCGTGTCGCGGCAGCGGCCATGGCGACACGCTACGCCCTGCGATTGGATAGCGTGCCGCTCCGCTCCACGATGCGGTTTGACGCTGGGGGGGGGAGGAAGTGGATACCGTGTCGCACCGGATAGTGGTGGGCCAGAACCGGCGAAGCGAGACGCTAAGCCAAAATTCTGGAACGCAAGACCCGATCCCTCGGGGATCTTCTGACCCGGGTCAGTCCAGACCCGGGGTCAGTCAGGAATGGCAGGACCCTGCAAGATCCTGCAAGATCCTGCAGGATCCTGCACCCAGGCCCGGCTCAGTGCACCCCTGACCCTGCAGGATCCTGCAAGGTCGGGCGCTCCGACTGAGCCCCGGTTGCATCGACCCCCGTCCCTTGGGCCCCCACCTCCCTTCATGGCATGCGCAGGACCCGCTCCTGGAGGACGCGAACATGCTGCCGGGGGTCTCCGCGTCCGACGCGCCCCCGAGCGAGCGGCGGAGCCGCCGTGCGGGGGAGGGCGTGCGCTGCGGCGTGCGCAGCGGCGTGGCGGTGGCCGTCTCGTGGGAGCTGAAGCCGTCGCCGGAGCCCTCGGGCTCGGGGGCGCCGAGCCTGGCGGGAGGGGCAGGCTCAGGTCGGGCATGTCCTCCCACAAGCGGACGCTGGGCGAAACACACAACAGAGTCCTAACACGAAACATCGAAACAGCTCAAACAGAGCTTTAGAACAAGTCTCCATACTATTCCTGTAGAGGGACAGGGCCAAAACATTGAAAAGCTCGAACAAGCTTCAAAACATTCCCCCTGTAGAGGGACATGCCCGGACGTAAGGCCGGGCGTGTGCTGCCGCATCCTCGGGCCCTGTCGCGTCGAGATCCAAGCGCGACGGGGGGCAGTGTGGTGGTTGTTTCCTGCCCCATGGGGGCCCTCGGCAGCCCTCGGGGCCCTCAACACACGACTCAGGAGGAGGAGGGGGAGGGGGAGGGGGAGGGGGAGGAGGGGGAGGAGGAGAAGAGGAGGAGGAGGAGGAGGACGAGGAGGAGGAGGGGGAGGAGGAGGAGGAGGAGGAGGAGGAGGAAGAAGAAGAGATGGAGGAGGAGGAGGAGGAGGAAGAAGAGGAGGAGGAGAAGGAGGAGAAGGAGATGGAGGAGGGCCCTGGGAAGGGGTCGAGGCCTCTTCGGGAATCCACGCTGGGAGGCAGTCGCGACGTCGTCGGCGGGGTCTGGGTCTTGGGGGGCCCGAGCCTGGCGAGAGGGGGCACTCGCGGTCGGGAGCTGCTGCTGATAGCGTGTCGTGGCCGCGGTCGCGGCTGCCAATGGAAGCACGCGGTGCTCTGCGTCGCGGGGCGGGAGACTGGGAAATGCTCGGGACGCCAGCTGGCTGGGGCTGGCCGGGACGTGCTCAGCGGGTCACGGCGAAGCGTGGTGGGCCAGAACCGGCCACGCGACGCGCTAAGCGACAACGTCTCACCGTGATGCTGCATCTTCGGGGGGTCTCGTCTGTCCCATCGCATCGCCGTCCGCGTCGAGTCCGCATCATGTCCACGAGTCCAGACTCCGGAGACGCATCCGATCTGCGTGTAGAGTGCGCGTCGATCGAGTCCGCGTCAAACCCAGAAGAGGAAAACACAACTTAAAAGGGCACAGAAAGCCCATAGGCACGGGAAGCATCCACAACCCACAGCCCAGAAACCACAAGCGTCGCAACAGAAGCACGGCGGCGCTGCCTTTCCCCATGTTTGGCGCAGGGGCGGCCAGTGCGGCCCCAGGAATGGCAGAACACGGCCCACGGCGACGCGGGGCAGCGGTCCCCCGGGGGCTGGGGTGGCGAGCCTCAGAGGGCCTGCGGCCGTGGCAACGATGACGACGTGCGGGTGCATGCGGGGGGGGGGCGGATCATGGACCAGGAGGTCCAGCCCTCCCTACGTACAGTCGGACCTGGGACAGAGGGACATCCTTCAAGAGCATGAGCGCCTCCGCCAGCCAAACTGAAGAGCACTCGAGGGTACCCTCCCCCAGGATACGCAAGAACATCCAACAGGCACGAGGAACACCAGGGTGCCCTCCCCGAGCCGGCTTCGATCCGAGACCCCGGTCCGACTGTGGTGGGTCCGTGAGGAGGGTCGGTGGTTGTGTCCACCTTCGCCCTCCCGCTCGAGCCACGCGAGCATCTCCACCATTTCGCCGACGAGCGTCTCCCAGCCGTCGGGGCACCGCACCCTGGCGACGAGCCCGACCAGGGCGTGGCCCTCGCCCTCCTGGAGGGCAGGAATGCTGGCGCAGGCCCGAACTTTCGGACGTCCGCGCGGACATCCTGTCGGGGGCGCGCAGGCATGGATCAGCGATCCATGGACTTGGCGCGCGGTCGCCAAATCCATGGATCGGGGGGGGGGCCCTCCCCCAAATGCGGCTGGCGCCGCCCCGCTCGGCGGCGGAAGTCCGCGATGTCCCATGGGAACGGGACCCGTCGCTAAACCCCCCACCGCTTGATCCATGTTTGCGATCGCCTGATCTCGGATTGGCGCTGGACTCCCCCCTCCCTGGGTCAGCGCCGAGGGGGTCCCAGCGAAGATCCGAAAGATCCGCGCGGGCCTCCGAGAGCTCGGCAAAGACGCCTTGCTCTGAGAAGTAGTTAGTCACCGAGGGCACACTCTTCGTCGATCTCGGCGGGTCCTGAACATGACCCACAACTTCTGGGGGTCCCTGGGCGACTGGGTAAAGGCCTCCCAGATGGGGTCCGAGTCGATGGGGTCGGAGGATCGCTGACGCATCGCCGATGCGCCGGCGACGTCGGCGATGCATCGGCGACGTCGGCGTGGAGAAAACTGGGCTCAACATCGGGCCACAACTGCGGAGCGATTCTCCGAACCCATCTACTCGAACCCTATCTGCGAAGCGCAGACTGGGGTATCAGAGGCTTCCGTGATGCACCTGTTGGCAGGCCGCCGGTTCATGATTTGACGTTCCTGCTGCATGTTTGCGAATGTATTTCTTCTCCGATCTCCAGCTGCTCCAGAGCGTGGCCATGGCTCTCCGAGGGTACCCTCTGGATGTCAAGGGCGTCCACCACCTCCTCGGCCCTGCCGCGGAGGCCCCGGGGAAACAGGGCGTCCAAGTCCTAGGCGGACCACAGAAGCCGTGCACGCAAGCGTCCTCCTCCTGCTCCTGCTCTTGCTCCTCCTCCGCCTCCTCCTGGGGGCCCAACGCCTCGAAGGACGCCGCGGGGACCACTGGGCGCGCACAATGTCCCCGCCCCGCTCGCGGAGCCAAGCCCGCCGCCGGCGCCGCCCCCCCCCGCGCCGCGCCGGGCGCGCGCCGCTTCCTCGCCCTCCTCCGCTGCTCCTCCTCACCCTCGGTATCCTCCTTTTCCTCCTCTTCCTTCCTCCTCCCCCTCTTCCTCCAACTCCTCCACCTCGTCCTCCTCTTCCTCCTCCTCCTTTTGTTCCTCCTCCTCCTGCTCCTCCTCATTTTGCTCCTCCTCCTTCTTTTCTTCTTGCTCCTCCTCCTCCTCCCCCCCCTCCTTTTCCTCCTCCTCCTCGTCCTCGTCCTCCTCCTCCTCCTCCTTCTCCTCCGGACGTCGTCGCACCGCGACGAAAATACTGCGATTGAGCGTTGTTGGCAGCTGTCTGCCTCATGGGGGCTCAAAAGAGCCCGCCCTGGGCCGTCAGAACTAGATCAGTGTGAGAAGCCAGTTATGGGGAAGGAGTCCCAACTTCTGGGGAACCACGCCGTGGACACAACGAACGTCGGATGTCCTAGGGGTGCCGAGAACATGGAGGAGGAGAGCACCGACATACATGTGCGTGCTGGCAGCAGGAGCGGGGAAGAGGCGAAGTGTGCGCGGGAGCCTCCTCCTCCTCCTCCTTCTCCTCCTCCGCGTGCTCTCTCCTTTCAGTTCCTGTTCCACCCCCTCCCCTCCCACCTCCTCCTCGTTTTTTTTTTGTTGTTTCTGAACGCTCCTCGTGCTGCTCGTCTTTTTCATCTGGCTCCTCCTCTCTCCTACGGCTGTGGGCAGGGCGCGTCGCCAGCAGGAGTACGTCAACTTGGGCAGGCAAAGTCACCGCGACCCTGACTGGGCAAAATCGGTAGCAGACTGCGCATGGCACCGAACACGACGCCCGCCGAAAGGAAGGCGGATGATATGGGAAGATGCTGTCCGGCGCTTTACTAGAAACAACGACGTCGATTCCCTGGGGGGGGGGAGGAGGAGGAGGAAAGGGAGGGCGTGGAGGAGGACGAGGAGGAGGAGGAGGGACGCCACTGCGCGCAAACAAATTTGCATACCGCCCCGCCCAGGGAGGGCGCCAGCCCCCCCAGGTTCGGCCGGGCCGAAGGCCTGCAAGGGCCAGGGCGGCAGCGGCCGCAGCAAAACCGAAGCACAACCGGGGCCCGGCGGCAGAGCATCCCCCAAACCGCGGCTCAGGCAGCGCCCCAAAACCCCACAGGGTAGGCCCCCCCCAAGGCCCGTGGCCTCACCGGGGCCTGAGGATTGACGAAGGCGCCCCTTCGGGAGTGCCGGCCCCGACTACGGCCATGCGGATCATCTCGGCGACTTCCTTGTCGGTGAACTTCCTCTCCAGGTCGATCGAGCCGTTGTCGTCCGCGTCGCCCGCGCCGACGGGTAGGCCTGACCAGGCTTCGATCTCCTCGAGGATCTCCATCTTGAAGCCGTAGTCCTCCAGCTCGCCGCTGGTCACCAGGCCCAGCACCTCGCTCGGTCGGTGTGTTGCTATAAGCTATGTGCAACCCAGGGCTCTGCAATACATGGGGCTGTGCAATACACACATACACCTACACACACATATATATATATATATATATGTATGACTATATATGTGTATATATATATAGATGTGCATACACACATATAACAGGCATGCGTGCGTATGTCTGTACATACATACCTATATATATAAATGTACACATGCCATGGCACCTGTGTGGTGCAATATGCGTGAAGCTGTCTGTGTGGTGCATCCATCCTATGTGGTGCAGTCTGCTTGGTGCAATAGATTTTGTGCAAACTGTGGTATGGAATCGACGTGGTGCAACTTATGTGGTGCAAACTCTGTGGTGCGCAATCTATGCTGTGCAGCCGACGTGGCGCAACCTGCGAAGTGCAATATATGTAATGCCATTTGTGTGGTGCAATCTATGTGATGCAGGTAATGTCCAGTCGCAATGAATTGTCCACTCCACTGCTCGCGTTTGCAAAACCCATGCGGCGGCGATTGCGGTGAGTACTCGGAGTTGGCTGGCGCACCTCTGCGGCCGCGCTGGCCCGCGCATGCTCGCGCGCGTAGCGGCCAGATATTTTGGCGCAGCCGACGCGGCCGCGGTGGCGCTGAGCGCTCGGCACTGCCCAACGGGCACTTCCGCGCGAGTCGGCGGCTTGGGCGGGCGCGGTATTATGGCAACGTCTGGAACGGTAGACGCGACGACGATGGTAGCGATGCGGTTGATGATGATGACAACGGCGACGGCGAGGCCAGTGACGACGCCGGTTCTGATCACGCCGACGACGATGACGGCGCCCTGGCGTCGGATAACGGTTGTTGGGAGGGTTCGGATTGCGTGCGCGGCTAACGCGCGAGTGGCCCGCAGGGTATTATTTGGCACGGGTCGTGCCCACCCCCCCAACACGCGCGTAAGGGCGCTCGAATGATTTCGACGTGCGGCGGGAGCGGCCCGTTTGGTAGTATGCATGAGCATCAATGGTCTTCTTAAGAATTCGCAGGAGCGCGACCGCAAGCATGTTTGAAAACTGATGTTGCCAACCATGTGGTTGTCACGGGTTTTCGGGACACTCGATTTTGACATCGCTGCGGGACTTCAGGTTTTTGATCGATTTCCGCATGCGCACGCGAGGACGCGCGCGCGCGCGTGCACTTCGTGACATCAGTTGCAAAGGATTCTTGCCACAGCACGCGCTGAAGGGCGTTCGAGCGATTCCGGCATGAGCGCGCCATGTGGTAGCAACCTGCAGAAACATTGAATCAAACATGGTTTCCTAAAGAATTCGCTGGATCCCAAGCGCAAGCATTTTTGAAACATTTTGGTTTTCGAGACCACGTGTTCTTTCATGACCTCGGGACACTCGATTTCGAACTCTTTACAACACCTCAAGTATTTGAAAGATTGCGGCATGCGCGCGCGACGACGCGCGGGTGCGCACTCACTCCCAGCTGTTGCACAAGATTATTGAAAAGTGCTGATTTTTGGAGAGAAAAAAAAAACGACTGCGCGCGCAAAAGATGTTTGGCAGAGGGTGAGGGGGGGAACCGTTACTGCTGGTTGGGATGCTATAGGTACGTGTTTAGGATGGACGATGAGGCAGAACCGCATGCAATTGCAATGCGAAAAGAGGGTAGGTCCTAAAACTCTTGTAGGAATGCAACCTATGCGGTGCAAACTACGTGGTGCAAACTATGTGGTGCAATCGAGGCGGCGACTGAGCGGCGACGGCGACGACACAGCCACAAGATCGACCCCAAGGCCCAAAGAACAGGCGGCGACGGAGCGGCGACGGGGCGGCGACGGCGACAACATAGCCGCCCGACCGCCGCACAGGCCCAGACGATGAGCGGCGACGAAGCGGCGACGGCGAAGACATAACCGCCAGACCGCCACGCAGGCACAGTTTCGTAGAGAAGAAGTGAGAGACCCTAAGTGCAAGCACTGTTTGGGAATTCAATGCACATGCATATGCACATGTTTCTGTACACGTCTATGTCTATATGTGTATTTAACTGTATGTGTATGATGAGGGTTGCTATGCCTCCTCCTCCTCCTCCTCCTCCTCCTCCTCCTAGTCTCCGTGCTACCCTCTCCTGCTCTTGCTCTTTTTATCACCATCCGAATTGTACCTTCTCCCCCTCCTTCACCACCGTTTCCCTCTGATCCTCCTGCTCCTGTTCCCTGCTCCCTCTCCTCGCCGTTCTCTCCTCACAGCATGCCCACCTCCTACGCGTTCCCTCTCGTCCTCCTTCCTCCTCCCCTCCCCGCGCCAATCCTGGTCGCTGGCGCTCACCTCGCACACCAGGGAAAGCCTGAGCAGAAAGCAACATGTTCCTGGAGCGCCCTCGTGGCCATTGGCGTGGCCGCGAGGGCGCTTGTGGCATGTCCGAGAAGGTCCCCAAACTCTGAAACATCTCGATACTCGATCCTCCCGCCTTTTTTCAATAGTGTTGAAGGAATATTCTGGGAGGTCTTCTCAGACACGAGTAAATAACACAAGTGGACCATTCGACAAAAACACGGAGATAGACGAGCCCGATAAAGCCAAGGCTTGGGTCGGACTGCGCGGGACCAGGCGGCAGATCAGATCAAACCAGAATCGGCGGGACCAGGCCGGTTTTAGACCACGGACCATCATGCCAGCGCCTAATCGAAATCTAACCCGCCAGGAGTTGCACCACCAACAGGGCACGGCGCAAGCAGACCCCTCCAGAGGTCCGCACAGACTCCTAGGGCCTGCGCCGAGAAAACCCGAAGAGGTCCGTGCGGACCTCTTAGACTTACGCAGGTGCCGCTGTTGCCACTGCTGCTCTCGGACTGGAGGGGTCTGGTTGGCATGGCGCTTTGGAAGCCCGGAGTGGATCAGGAAAACATGGATACGATGCCCAACAACAATAAATGCTGTCACAAAACAACAGCGGCCGCTGCTGTGCAGGCTAAAATGGACACAGTCCGTGGCGACTCCAACAACGAACCCTGTTCAAAATGAACAGGAACTGTTGTTGATGGGCCTGTTTTCCACTACCACCACCACCATAAGTTGGAGATGGAGGGGGTCCTCCTCCTCCTCCTCCTCCTCATCCTCCTCCACATCCTCCTCCTCCTCCTCTTCGTCCTCCTCCTCCTCCACCTCCTTCCCCCCTCCATCTTGTGGTGGTGGTGGTGGTGTGAAACAGACCCATCAGTTGTCGGTCTTTGTACCCATTCCTTCCGTACCCATGCCGATCGTCCCGAGACGCGAGCGGGCCCTGGGGGGAACGGGCCCTGGACCCGAGGGGGGGGCCCGGCGAGGGCGCCGAGAGCCCGAGCACGGCGAACAAAAACCTCAGGGCCTGAATCCTTCAGGACCCGTTCCCTCCCGCCCGCCAGTGCGAATTGAGGGGGACGAACAATGGCAGAAACTCAAGAACTCGGAGGTCCGCGCGGATTTTTCGGATCCGCGCTGGAACCTCCGAGAAATCCGCGCGGATCTCCGAGTTGTTATGTTCATGCAAGTTTTCGTTCCCCTATATTTGCTCAATCCGCGGCCCCAGAGGTCCCGATCCCCTCCTGTGGGCAAGTTCTTCGCCCTGGGATCTCGTTTGGATGGTCCTGGGGCCCAGTTTTCGGGCCTCCAGAGGCAGGCCAAAACGGAGGAGGCATGCACTCGCGAGTTCTCAAGAGTGACATCGTCGGAGGCCTGTCTGTCTCGGCCTCAAGGTGCTTCCTACCCCAGGGGCGCCCCTGCAGCAGGGCCCTGGCCGCGCTCCTGGCGCTGCCCTCCTCCAGGTGCCGCGCAGCGCTCAGAGCGGCCACCACCACCTGCCCGCCGACGACGACGCCGCCAGCGGCGGCGCCAACGGCGCCGCCGTGCGCCATTGGTCGCGTTCGGCGGACTTCGTTGGCCTCCCCTGGCGGCTGGATGGCAGAGCTTCGAGACTCCCAGTCGTCGGACGTGTTGTTGTCAGAGGCTGCCGCAGGCCTTCCAGCTGCGGGGCGCCTTCCAGCAGCTGCACCTCGCCGAGGGCGTTCGGGGGGTGCCTTTGGATCGCCCCGGACGGCCGCCAGAGGCTCGAGTGCTGGCCCGTGAGGGCCAGACCTCCTCGCGTCGTGAACGACATCGCGGCCCCCAAAGGCTGTCAAAACACGGCCTCGGGACACGTAGCCGGTCCCCGGGCGGGAGTCCAAAGTTCTTGAGCAGGTACCGGCCGTCCCTGCTTTCCTAGCGCCCAAACGTGATCTAAAACAAAAGCAATGGTACATAAGTCGACGAGCGCGTTCCACCACTCGCGAAGTAACTACTCGCAAATGGCCTGGATCCCCCGCGGGGGATCTACAATCAATTACATCGAAGCAGACATGTGTGTTTTCGGACGTTTGCGAGTAGGCACTTTGCGAGTAGTGGAAAGCGCTCGGCGAATACGCACGATGCGTTAACACAATTCAGTCTCAGCCAGGACTGTTCTCATAGCATTGCGCGCAGACCACAAAAGGTTCTTAGAACATTCTTTGGTGGGCCTGTAGGCGAGCCAGGACGCTTCGCCACTCCTTGAAGCTCTGGGGGGCCACGCTGCGAACCGTTCACGACCTCGGGTGTCTGAGACCGTCCCGAGCGGTCGCAGGAGGGTGGAGCTTTGACTCGCGTGCGAAAGACCCGTGTCACGAAAACAATCACGCCAGAACGTGGGTTGCCAGTGCTCGGCCTCCCGGGGCCCTTGGTGGGGGCTGGGGCCGTCGGATAACCGGCTCGGGACGAGAAGCCGGCCCTCGGGCAGGGGTCTGGACCTCTGGGGAGCCACGCCAGGCGACGAGGACGACCAACACACCCACCACAAGAGCGTCGACGACGAAGATCCGATGGCTGCGACAACGCTAATGGGGGTCAGAGAGCCCTGAGATCGACGGCAAGAAAAAGCTGAACATCGGGGAAAATGACGCCCAGCACCCTGGACCCCATTTGCCGCATTTCTCGAGCCACACCGACATGTAATGATCCGTGGGCCTGAGTTTAAGCAACGAGCGTAACACGGGTCTTGATCTTTCAATGCGTTGGATTCTTTCTCCCCTAAGCGATCACAGGACGATCTGCCCCATCCCCTCTGCTTCCTGGATGGGGTCCGAGAAGATGGGGTCGAAAGATCGCGCCGCATCGCCAGTTCATCGGCGATGCATCGGCGATGCATCGGCGACGCATCGGGGACGCAGGTGGTGCATCGGCGCAGTCGGCGTGGATCCTCCGCCCCTCTACCCTCCCCCCCCGCAACATGCTCCTCCTCTTGCCCTATCTCCTCCTCCTCCTCCTCCTTCTCCTCCTCCTCCTCCTCCTCCTCCTCCTCCTCCCCCTCCTCCCCCTCGGCGTTTCCTGAGGAGGAGGAGGAGAACGACGAGGAGGAGCAGGAGGATGAGGAGGAAGGGGAGGGGGAGGCGGCTCTCGGAAGCTCTCGGGGCCTTCTTTACTTCTTGCAGCTTCTGCCGTCCGCTGGTTCTGTTCCAGCGACCGCGCCTTGTCGGGAGCCGTCTCACGATGCCAGAGCAGTCCCAAGACGGCCCAACGAACGGCCCAGAAACTCGGACTCCAGGTGTCGTGGAACAGTTAAGGCCGCCAGCTTCTTGAGGGCGGGCAATCGGAAGGCCACTCCAGGCCCTGGGATGCGCAACAAGAACACCCACAGCGTGAGATCCGGACAACATATTTGAACGAGACCCTCGAGTTTCCTTCCATCTCTACACCGCCGCAGGACCACCAGAACATTGAGCACCCCTGGGCAACATGTCTTGTAGTGACTGCACCCGGACACGAAATCGAGCAGCGTATAGCTGCCCAGCAAGCAAATCAGACCGGCTCCCTCGCCTCAACGCTTCGTTCTCCCCTTCTCCCCCCATCCTTCCCATCCTGACCTGGTGCTTGAAAGCGGCCTCCGCCCTCTTGAGTTGGCAATTGATCTTCAACTCCAGATTGGTCGACTGCCTGATCGCCATGTCTCCGGTGACCACAACGCCCCTTGGCTTCAGTATTGACATCACAGCCTGCAAGACCTTCCACGCGCTCCACAGACTGCCTTCGTTGGCAAAGCGAAAGTGGGGGACTTGTTCAGTGGAGGGCCAGAGACCTGAAAAATCGGCGACACATCGCCGATCAATCAGCGATCGACCCCCAACAGCGAAACGCAACGTCCCTGGACACGGAAGGGTATCCAGACACCGATGTGCGAGTAATGGGCGAGAGGGGCTCGACGGTCCATGTCCCCCGCTTGGCAGAAGACTCCGACATCATGGGCCAGCACCCTCTGTTTACAACCCTCTGGGCCTATGACTCCGATGTAGTGGGCAGCGGTGATCCAAGGGATCACGGGCGGCGCGCGCATCACGACCTCCAGCAGCGCCTTCCGAGCAGAAGTCTGACGGTCCGGAACGTTTGCTTAGCGTGTCGCGGCGGCGGCCCCAGCGATAAGCTATGCCATGCGAGCGGATCGCGTGTTGCTACGCTCCACGGGGCGGGAAACTAAATAAAGCTCTGGACGTTGACGTTCGGAGTCCGGGACGTGGACAGCATTTTGCATCGCAGCGGGGTGAGTCAGAACCAGCGGAGCGACACGCTAAGCAACATGTCCTGACCGTACTCACACTCAATGTTTGGTATGCTAGGTCAATAATTAAGAAGGTCCCATGGCGTCCGTGGAAGTTCACGATCCCAGGGTCTTGCAAGGGCCCGAACATCGTGTTCGATCTTGGGTGTGCAGCTGTGGGCGACTCCAGGAGACCTGGGTGCGCTGGAGATGAACTCTCTCTCGGGGAAACCAAGAGGTACCGATATCGCTACTCCCATGACCTCTCCAGGGGTGCGTTCTGACCAGGATTTCGAAGCGAATCCAGCGGTGGCGACGAGGGACGCCCAGGAGGCCCCCAAAAAAGGAAAACGAGGGCAGGGTAGAGGTATGGGTACCTCTTCCTCCCCTGACTCTCTATCAAGAAAATGCACGCCTCCTTCCTCGCCCGCATCCGTCAGCAAAGCCGCCCTCGGAGGACCCCCGCCGCCTTCCGCACACCCTCCGCCGGCCCTCGACGAGGGCCGGGCCCTCGAGCCCCTGCCCGGAGCGCCGAGGGCCCGGGGATCTCTGCCCGGCGCGCAGGGGACGCCGGTGCTCCCAGACCTCGGAGAGAGCAACGGCACCTCCGCGGCCTGGCCCTCCGAGCCAGAAAGCTTCTCTCGGCGGCGAGCGGAGGGGGGGAGAGGAGGAGGCGAAGGCCTCCTCTCCTCAGGGGCCCTCGCGCCCTCGGAGCAGCCGTTTGCGTGTTCGGGGGAGGCCCGCGAAGCTTCTCGGAAGGCCGGGGGGCTCCCGAGCCTTCTGAGAAGGCCCGCCCCTTCTCGCTCCCCCCGCCGGGCTCGCCGTCAATTCTCTCCTCCGGCGCCCCGCTGCAATGCTGCGGACGGCGCTCGCACCGAGGGGGCTCTCACCCAGCTTGGAGGGAACTTCGGCTCCGCGTCTCCGCTGGCCTACCCGGCGCGCCCTGTTCGCCGAGGAGCTCCACTGCTCGTCCCCTGTCCCTGACTGACCCCCTGACCGTGGTTCCGTGCATCTCCTTGGTGCGACCCTGGCCCCGGTTGTCTGGTCCCCCCCTCGCGCCAATGTCCTGGATGATCGAAGTCTCAGTTTGAGGGGCCCTGTGTGGCCCAGACCGTCCTCGGCCTGGAACCTAAGGCGAATGCCTCTGCCTCGGCCCTGCATCCCGGCCCCTGCCTGGCCATGGTGCCGGTTCCTGGTATCACCCCAGCCCACGGTGGCGGCTCTTCCAGAACTGAGGGCGCCCAGGGACACAGAAACAAATACACACAACTCCCAGGATTCCCCACATATTTTCTCATAGTTTCTGAATAATCGTCTTCCCCCCCACTTCCCATATTTGTTCCCAAATTTTCCTTGGAATCGACGATTCACTGTGTCCGTTTCCGATGTCGTGATTTTTTCAATGCGCGGTCCCCGGAAGTCTCGCCCCATTCCCCAGCACCGTTTTTTGCTTTCATCCTGAGCCGTTTATGGACGGTCCTGGGGTCTGGCGAGGGCCCCTAGAGGCCGACAGTGGCGAAAGACCTCCGTCCTGATTTTTCCAACACCTTGCATCTCTGGGTTGTCTCCCTCCTTGGGCCTCTGGAGCCTGGGTCTCCCGCGGGGGGTGCGAAGATGATCGCGCGTCGCGCGCCGCGGTCTGGGCCCGAGCGGCTGCCCTCCTCCCGGGGCGGCGGCCGGGAGAGAGTCGCGCGTCGCGCATGGCTGGGTGCGACGCGCGAAGAGTACCTTGGGTCGGGCATGTCCTCCTGCCGGCGCAGCTTGGAAGAAACATTAATGAAGGGGCCCCAGGACACACAAATAAATACACACAAATAAACATAGTCCCCATATTTTCCCATATTTTCTGGGTTTCTGTCTTCCCCCCCACTTCCCATATTTTCCCATATTTTCTAATCGCCGATTAATAGTGTCTGTGTGTTTTTTCCCCTCCTGAATTAAGACTGGTCAAACACTACTCACAAAATCATCGACAAGCACGGAACATCGTGCCTGGACTATTTGTGTTACCATTCTGGAGCACTCCTCCTGTAGACGGGCATGCCCTACGTAAAGGTAAGCAACCCCCGCTTCAACTT